TGTGGAGGGCTTAGGGTCACCGGGGCTAGTTTAGGGTTTGGGGTGTCGGGATGAGGCCCTTTTCAAAGCTTGAGGGATTACGGGGCGATCCGGGCTTGGAGGAGGGGAGGGTTCCCCCAAGCCTGCCAACAGAAGAGCCTGGCACTTGGGGGCGCGGGGGCCTTGCTAAAACCCAAAACCCCAAAGCCCATGGGGCCCTTCATGGTTTACACAGGGTCCAGAAGGTCCAGAATGCCCCTAGTATCTATAGGTTTTAATCGGGTTCCTAGACTTGAGGGCCTAGAATTAGGTATGGTTTCGCGGGAGTTTTTGGGAAGACGCTTGGCCTCCTTGATTGCGGCGACAGCCATCCGAATCTCAGCCACGTAAAGCGCGCCTTGGCTTGGGCAATGTTGCTGGTGGTCTTAGGGTTGAGGGTTTAGGGTTTAGGAGTTTGGAGTTTAGGGTTTAGGGTTGAGGAGTTTGGAGTTGAGGGTTTAGGGTTTAGAGTTTCTCAAACCCTAAGAGGCCTAAAACCCTAAGACCCTAATGACCCTAAAAACCCTAAAGCCTCAAAACCTTAAATCTCCCTAAGATCCTAAAAAAACCCAAAACTCTAAAACCCTAAACCCTAACCCCTCTCTCCACTCCCCCCCCCCCATTTTGTTCTGGTGACCCTAAAACCCTAAACCCTAAGACCCTCAAAACCTTAAACGCCCTAAGATCCTAAAACCCTAAAACACCCTAAACCCTAAACCTTCTCTCTACTCTCCCCCCCCCCCCCATTTTGTTCTGGTGACAACAAGTCCCGGCATGGCCCAACCGCAGAGTTCGAGGGTTCGGGGTTAGGGTGTATGGGGTAGAAGGGTTTAGGGCGTATAGGGTTCAGGGTTGAGGGTTTATAGGGTGTAGAGTGTACAGGGTGTATAGGGTTTAGGGCTCCTAAACCCTAAACCCTAAACCCTAAACCCAAGGGTTTAGGGTGTTTAAGGGCTTTAGGGTATAGGGTTTAGGGTGTGTAGGGTTCAGGGTTTCGGGTGTCGGGCCCCCCTTGGGCCGCCGCCGAGGGCTGTCGGAACCGAGTGCGGGGTCATTCCTGGACCCGGCTTGAAGTAGGGTTTTTGGGTTGAGGGTTTAGGGTTTAGGAATTTGGGGTGAGGGTTCAGGGTTTAGGGTTTGGGGTTTAGGGTTTTGGGTTGAGGGTTAAGGGTTGAGGGTCTAGGGTTTGGGGGGTAAGTGCTCAGGCTTGAGGATTTAGGGTTGAGGGTCTAGGGTTTGGGGTAAGTGTTCAGGGCTGAGGGTTTAGGGTTTGAGGGTCTAGGGTTTGGGGGTAAGTGTTCAGGGTTGAGGGTTTAGGGTTTCGGCCTAAGGGCTCAGGGTTGAGGGTTTAAGGTGTCTAAGGTTTAGGGTATAGGGGTAAGGGTATAGGGTTGAGGGTTTAGGGTTTAGGGCTAAGGGTTCAGGGTTTAGGCTTGAAGGTTTATAGGGTTTAGGGTTCAGGGTTTACGGCTGAGGGATTCCCAACATACCCCTGGTGAGAACGAAGATGCGGCTCGGTCTGCCAGCAAATCCTTCAGCGGTGGGTACTTCTGTGGGTCCGTCTGTGGCCATGAGCGCCGCAACAAGAAAGGCTCTTTGACCCTAAGCCCTAAACCCCACTGGAAATGATTGGCTGTTGGTCTGTGGCAAGAACTGGAAAAGGCTCCCTTTTTTCTTTTTTTGGGGGGTTTAGAGTGTGCGGAGTAGTACCGAAAGGACACATATGGATATAGCCCGCAATCCCCTAAACCATAAACCACAGAGAGAACCACTACATGTAACCCTATACCCTAAACCCTAAACCCTAAACCCTAAACCCTAAACCCTAAACCTCATAAGAAACACGAAATTTCGGCTCAGGTTAGGTGCAGGAAGAGTTCACAGCTCGGACTTTCCGGCTTTCAGGGAATTGGGTTCCCATTGGAGTCCCTATGGGCTTACAGGTCACGCCGCTTTTGGGGGCTTCTAGAGTTTAGGGCTCAACAAGGGCTTAGGATTCAAGGTTTAGGGTTTAGGGTCGCTAAGCCCCATACCCTAAACCCTAAGCCCTAAAGCTCTTAGGGCTTAGGGCTTAGGGTAGCCATAACACCCCAAAGCCTCCAGAGGAAGCTCCTACTCGCCCCTTGTAGGAAACGCATGGACCGGGCTCGCGTCCTTTGCAACTGGCGTTGACCTGCGGAGGGAAGAGTCGGATCCCTGTTGGGCTTGGCAGGGTTGAGGGGGCGTCATGAGGCCCACTTAGGGTTTAGGGTTTAGGGTTTAGGGTTTAGGGTTTAGGGTTTAGGGTTTAGGGTTTAGGGTTCAGTTGTGCTTAAACCTTACATCTGGTATTCCTGGCCACCGGGGCCAGCCGCAAGCATCCTCCACCAGAAGCACAGCGATTGCACGAGCCCTCCCTGGTTTTGGGTGCAGAGAATCCCCAAGATCCGCAACCTTGGTAGGCACCCTTTTCTGGGGTGGGTTGCAGAACGACAAAAAAAAGGGGTACAGTAAAGGGCACCACTGGGCTACCAAGCAACTCAACACCCATGGAACCCCCCAAAAGAAGAAGCCCTCCACTCCCCTGGCCTGGCAAGAACAGGACTTGCAATGTTGGGGTTTAGGGTTTAGAGTTTAGGGTGTAGGGTGTAGGGTTTAGGGTCGAGAGGGTCGAGAGGGTCGAGAAGGGCTGAGGGTTGAGGGTTTTGGGGTCTCGGGCTGTTCATGACTTGTTTTCCACCGGCGGCCCCTCGTTCGTGGCGCTAGGGCCGGCAAAGCGGCTGCAGCCTCTCAACGGCCCAGGGTGGATCTGGGGTTTGGGCGATTTAGCGTACTGTACCGGGCCGAAAACCTAGATCCAAACCCTCAGCCCGAAACTGAAACCCCAAGCCCGAAACTCTGAACCCCGAAGCCCGAAGCCCCTAAACCTTCAGACAGAGTGGGCAGACAAACGGAACAAAAGAGGAGGTGTAGGGTTTAGGCTTTAGTCTTTAGGGAGTCGGGTTGAGGCAGGGTTTAGGGATCCGAGGTCAGAGGTCCAATCAGGCAAATCTACTAGGGATTACATGCGAGTACTGAGCGTCACGCTTCCCTTGCTCGGTACGCCAAAACTAGCTCTTCTGAACTTGAATGTCTCGCTTCCGTTGTTGCCTGCGGGCTCGCGGGGGGGCAGGGCAGGTGGGGTCGACACATTGTTGAGACATGTCCGCAGTGGAAAGCCCAGACTCCTTGCACCAATCTCAGCAATCTCGGTTTCCAGAGGCTTAAAAGGAACAAATTCGATGAACTTCTTATTCCAAGCATAAACTTTAGCCACCAATGAGCCCTAATCCCGAAGACCCCAAACCGCTGGTTGGCAGAAGGAGGCCCCTCCAAAGCGTACCAGGGAAACCCTACGGCAGAGTAAGAAACTTTACACAAACTTTAAGCTTAGACTCTGGCCGGCCCAGAGATAATGTATGTGAGACTCTCGCCCAAAAAAAAGTGCCACAAAATGGTCAAAAGAAGAACCATCATTGAAGGAGCTGAAGCCCTCAATCCACCCTACATCCAAGCTAGACCCCTAAACCAGGACCCAAACCAGAAGCCCCAACCCCAAACCCTAGACCCCAAACCCGGCGTACTCCCCTCCCTCCCCCTCTTCCCTCCCCCTCTTCCCCCCCCCCTCCCAAACCCTAAACCCTAAACCCTAAACCCTGAACCCTAAACCCTAAACCACCCAGATCCCGCCTGCCGGCGCAAACTCAGGTCGCCTTCCGAGACTTCGGCTCGCAGGGCGAGTCGAGGGCTTTTGGGGTTCGGGTTTAGGGGTTGAGGGGTTGAGGGGTTTAGGGGTTTAGGGGTTTAGGGGTTTAGGGGTTTAGGGGTTCAGGGGTTTTGGGGTTTAGGGGTTTAGGGTTTAGGGGTTTAGGGGTAGGGTCTAGGGTTCGGATTTGGGCTGGTTTTGCGGATTGAGGGTTTAGGGTCTTCAAAAGGGCCTAAACCCTGGCTTTGAAACTCAAACAGACTGTGAAGTAACCTTCTACCCAGCAACTTTGGAACAAGGAGCAGCCCTGACACATTGAACAAGGCGCAGTAGGCATCTGCCCGGTTTAGGGTTTAGGGTTTAGGGTTTAGGGTTTAGGGTTTAGGGTTTAGGGTTTAGGGTTTAGGGTTTAGGTTTTAGGGTTTAGGGTTTAGGGCTAAAGGACATACGGGTACTAGGGGATCCTAGACACGACTTGGTGCCGAAACCTCTCCCTCACTCGCCCCGGCCTACAAAGCCCTTAAGCCCTTAAGTGTCATGGCCTGGATCAAGCCCTCACACTTGAACCTGGCAGGATGTGGGATTTTAGGGCCTCAGAGATTCCTATAAACCCTATTCCCCTAAGCACGTTTCTCGCAGGTGCGTGCGAGAGGGAGGTGTGCACGCTGCATGGCTCGGTGAGGGTGAGACGGTGCCAGCACCAAAATCAGGACAGCCGCTTGGGCATTCCTGGATGGCCCAATGAACCCTAAACCCCTAAACCCCTAAACCCCTAAACCCCTAAACCCTAAACCCCTAAACCCCTAAACCCCTAAACCCTAAACCCCTGTCAACCCCGAAACCACTATCAACCCCTAAACCCCTATGTGGGTTTGTGGGCTTCAGGATTTCGGGGTCTAAGAGCCTTTAGAGTATCACGGGGCTTTGCGACGTTGAGTTCTCCTGGCTCCCAGAAAAGCGGCCAACATAGGAGTTTCAAACAGCAGGAGCGGCCCCTTGCACCATAAAGGGGACTGGTGTAAGGTTTAAGGTTTAGGCGTCTACTGGATTTGTAACGGGTTTTAGGTAAGCAAAAATAAGTATCATGTATCCGGGGGTCGGGGGGGGTAGAAGTGAGGCTACAGTGTCTGCAAAAATTCCGAAGGCAAGAAAAGGCTCCTGTGTAGACTTCTCTGGCCAGCTCCGCAAGGAGGTGTCCGAAACTCCCGTGCCCCATGATCTTGCAAGACAACTTGAAGAGCCCCTAAAGGGCCCACTTTTAGATGCTACTCACGACTTCCGGCATGTTGCTGGGCATGTTGCTGGGCTCAACGCCTTCGTTGCTTTCCGCCTCCTTGGGGCTCTTGGGATCCTCAGGATCCCTCTGCCTGCCCTCCCTGGGCGGGCTCACCAGGACGGCCACGACCGGCTCGGCCTGCTTCATTGGGGGACTTTGGGGACTTTTGGGACTTTCGGGGCACTCCTCGTCCCGGGGCGGATCGACTTCCGGCTCAGGGCCGCTGTCGTCCACTGCCGGCGCGTGGAGGAGCAGCTGCGTCCTGAGCGTGTCGAAGGTCATTTGCCAGCCGGTCTTCTCTTCGTACTTGTCCTTGAACTCCTGGACCTTCTTGTTGAAGCCGCCAGCAATGCAGATGAGCCGGAGAAAGAGGTAGATTGCACCATAGGCATAGAGGAAAATCGAGCATCGAATCACCGAGGCAATGGAGTTTGCAAAATCTGCGTAGGCGCCCGCCATGTCATCCCAATCGGACACCGAGACGCCCGCTGAGTTAAGGAAGTTCGGCAATGGCGCCGGCATCACCCGCGAGTCATACCTGGGCTCAAGTTGAGCGTGTTCGCGCCGTCCCCAAAAAAACTCCCAAAACGGCCTCAAACCCCCTCGGAAACGGAAACGTCTTCCTAAACCGTGTTGCAGGTCCTCAGATGTCCTCACAAAACCCGGACGGAGCGAAGTACATGAGGTCTGAGATCCCAACACCTAAACTCTTTAATTAGAGCCCCCCCTGGTGTCACCTGGTTTCCTGCTTCCAAGCTGCGGGCACATGACGTTGCACAATGATTCGGGGTCGCTCCCTGAGCTCACCGGTAAAGTGATCAGGTGGCTCACCAGCTGACCCTCTCCCTGCCCTGCTGCGTGCTTCACGCGGTCCACCAGGGCCATGCCGGTGTCCAAAATCCTATACTGAACCTGGAACCCTAGCAACAACTATATTTGTTGCTGTTTCTTAGGGATTAAAAGTACCCCAAAATAAAAAAAAAACGATTTCCCAAGTATTTCTAAGGATCCTCTGATGCCAGGACTTCTCCTCGGTTTTGGGGGCGAAGAGGGAGTGCTCGGCCGCGGCGACCGGCGGATGAAAGACCAGCTTGCCATGATCGAAGTCGATGAGCACCTGGTACCCGATCTTCTCGGAGTACTTCTGGTTGAACTCCTCTTCCGCCTTTGTGCAGACTCTCCTCCATCGCCGGGAAAGAGCTCCCAAAAACGCCGGCCCCAGGAAGAAGGCGTAGGAGAAGAAAACGGCGCAGGGGAGCAGGGGGTTATTCGCCTCTCTCTTCGCACCTCGCACAACGCCCAGCAGCTCCGCCCAATCGGGCTCCGGCACCCCCGACTTCTTTAAGAAGTTGGGGAAATCTACCGTCCCACCACAGGGGCCGCGCCAGAACTGCATGACGCGAGCCATCGACTGCAGGGGGGGGGGGGGGGGGGAAACGAGCTACCTGAAGCCATACATGTAACATATGCGTGCCTCTCGAAGAAAGTGGGCACTTCCGGACACCCCCCAAGGAAACCCAATAACCCGAAGCCACTTTGCGACCCCAAACTCAGACATTCCCCAGTCTGCGAGGCATTACCCCCCCTAAACCCTAAACCCTGTGAACCCTATAAACCCTAAACGCACAACAATAGACCTTAAACCCTAAACCCAAAACCCAAAACCTACCCCCCCCCCCCCCCCCCCCACCCAAACAGAAGGCATATGGGCCCCACGTCTGCCTGGCCTTGGGTGCGGGGAGGGTGGCGAGGAGGCTGGCTATCCTGGCAAGCGCTGTTGGGCACAAGAAACACATGAAGATGCAGGGCCCTAGACCCTAAACCCTGAACCCTGAACCCGAAGGCCCTAAACCCTATAAACCCTGCACCCTACGCCAGAAACGAGCACCCTACACCCTACAAACCCAAAACCCGAAAAAACTCGAAACCCCAAACGCTTGAGGATTTAGGACTTTCTGGCTGTTGGGGGCCACGAAAGGCGCGACGTCCTCGGCGCTTTGGCGGCAGGCTCCAAGAGCACCCCTTGGCGAGCACATGTATAGGAAAAGTCTTGTCCCTTTGTTGGGGGGTTAAACCTAAACCCCAAACCCTAAACCCTGAACCCTGAACCCTAAACCCTAAATCCTCAGCCGCAGAGCCTCACCTCCTAAAGGGAGCCACGTTCTTCCGCGTGTGCTGCTTCCTGTCTGGTTTTCTGTCTTGCTGTTGGCTTGTTCAGGTCACGCCAACCCCAAGGCTTAAAGTCTCCAAGACACACATGGTTGCACATGCCACCCGGATGGGGTTTGAATGTAGGGAGGAGGGGATTGTGACTCGCCGTGGCGCACGCGCCGGCGAGAAACATGCTGCAAGCCTGCATCCTCCAACAACACCCTAAACCCTAAACCTTCAGCCCCAAACCCTGAACCCTAAACCCTAAACCCTAAACCCCCCATTGTTCTGAGCTGCCACCCTGATAATTCCAAAGCTCCTCTGCCACAACCCACAAGAGCCAAACACACTAGCCACCCTCGACCCTCCACCCCAAACCCGCCCCCCACCCCCCCGCCCCCACCTTTAAACAAATATGAGAAGAATAAGAATAATCCGAGCATCAGTTTAATTAATACCACCACATTTAAAAGACATGTTTTTCGCCGAGAAGCCCGCCGGAAGACTACGTTCCATTGCGGCGGATTTCGTATGGGCCCATACCACCACATTTAAAGAAAATGTTTTCGGGGGGGGGGGGGGTTCCAAAATCTGTCGGCAGGCTTCTTGTTTCGCTTGCTAAGCTGCGAAGCTACAGCACCTCAGCGGTCTGCGGCCTATTGTTTTTAATCGAGAATGAATACAGGGCTATGGTCTTGCTATTTGCGGAACCCTGCCTTTCTTATGGTGGTTGGGGGGGGGAAGCCCCCCAATTAAACAGATGCTCGGCTTAGGAAAAACAATCAGACGCCCTGAGCCCAGCCTACAAGACCCCAAAAGCTCTGGAGCCCTAAACCCCTAAACCCCTAAACCTGCAAACGACCCAAAACCAAACCCCAACCCCAAACCCCCCCCCCTCCTCGCGACGCCCTAAACCCTAGACCCCGGAGCCCCCGCAAGGCTGGAACCCTAAAACCCCTCAAAAAGCCCCCAAAACCCCCCAACCCTAACCCCTAAACCCTACAGCCCCTTTCAACTCCCCCAAGAAAGGACCCGAAACCCTTGAGTCCCCTGGCCTTCGTCTTGGGCATCCTCGGCGGCTTCGCCAAGGATCTCGCTCAAATCGGCGACGGGCCCCGAGTTGAATCCCTGCGGCTCCGGGGTTCAATAGGGTTTTGGGTTTAGGGCTTAGGGTTGAGGGTTTAGGGCTTAGGCTTTAGGGTTCAGGGTTTAGGGGGGGGTTGGGCTTTTTGTGGGGGAGTTTGGGGTTTAGGGTCTAAGGGGGGACAGGGCTTGTGAGAAAGGGCTTCGGGTGCGTTTAGGAGCTTCCTCACACTACCAACAGCCCTTCATAGGGATCATAGTACCCCCTCTACTAAACCCCCTAAAACCCCTAAACCCCTAAACCCCCAAACCCCCAAACCCCCAAACCCCTAAACCCCTAAACCCCCAAACCCCTAAATCCCTAAACCCCTAACCCCCCACACCCCTAAACCCCACCCCCTAAACCCCAAAACCCCAAAACCCCTAACCCCCTAAACCCCTAAACCCCAAACCCCTAAACCCCTAAAGCCCCAAACCCCTAAAACCCCTAACAACCCTAAAACCCTAAAACCCTAAAACCCTAAACCCCTAAGCCGCACCCTAAACCCTAAACCCCTAAACCCCTAAACCCCTAAACCCCTAAACCCCTAAACCCCTAAACCCCTAAACCCCTAAACCCCTAAACCCCTAAACCCCTAAACCCCTACACCAAGGCAAGAGCATGACCCTGCAAGTCGCCTCGAGCGATGAAGAGGTCCGCTTGGGTGCAGGAAACCTTCCACGACGGGGCAGTGTAGGGGGGTTTGCATTAAGGGTTTAGGGTTTAGGGTTTAGGGTTTAGGGGTTCCTGGGTGTATAGGGTTTAGGGGTTTATAGGGTTTGGAGGTTTATAGTTTATAGGGTTTGCATTATAGTTTATAGGGGTTGCATTCAGGTTCCTGGGTGTATAGGGTTTAGGGGTTTGTAGGGTTTGGGGGGTTTATAGGGTTTGGGGGTTTATAGGGCTTATCGAGCGCAAGGGACTACTATTATTAAGTATTCCGAGCCCTATATTAGAGGCCTTTGGATTCGGGTTCAGGGGTTTATAGGGGTTTGTATGTAGGGCTTCGGGGTTTGTGAGGGTTTGAGGGTTTAGGCTTTACGGGCTTATAGGGTTTAGCGGATGATAGGGTTCACGAGTAGAGGGTAGAGGGTTGAGAGGGTTCAGGGGATTAGGGGCTCAGAAAGGTCTACTGGAAATCTTGAGAAAGACGTAGGTTGCTCAGTTCGCTCCCGCAAGCCATGTGATATATAGTTATATTTACATATATATATACACACATACACATGCGCATATGTATATACATGTAAATCGGACGTCCAAGGAGTCACGGAGACATCAAGCACACAAACCACGGCCCTGGCATCTTCCTTTTCGGGCGGCGCGTCTTCGTGTTGGACACGTCTTTAGTATCCATGGTCACGTGGCGGCAGCCCCCTTGCAAGCTGCCGGAGCAGAATAGAGGAATCGGTCACACTACTACATGTTCTTTCGCTTCTTCTTTTCAGACTTCTTGTCCTTCTTGCCTTTCTCCTTCTTGTCTTTCTTCTTCTTCTTATCCTTCTTGTCCTTCTTGTCCTTCTTGCCCTTCTTTTCCTTGTCCTTCTTCGTCTTCTTTTTCTTCTTCTTCACCGGAACTTGCAGCCTCTGATGCTCGGCGGTCTTCATGAACTGCCACTTGGAGTAGACGTGGTCAGGCAGCTCCCGCGCCTCACCTCCTTGGTAGCCCAGCAACCACATTTATAATAACAAGGGGCACCCTCTTTCTTTTGGGTTGGCTACCCTTTTTTAGGGGAACCTTCTGAACTAACAAAAAAGGTGGGAAAAAAAAGGGCACACCACCTGGGCTACACCGAGCCTCTCAACATGTACCTCGTATCTTTGTCGTGACCATCCTTTGGGCCACCCCACCCTCCACCGCTCCAGCTCGGAGGCATATCCGGCTTCCCCACGTACACGTTGGCTTCGGCGATCCTCTCCTTCTCCTCCTCCTGCGCCCTCAAGACCGAGTCGCGCCGGAGCCTCTCAATTTCGTGGCTGGGGATGACTCCTTTCAAGTGGCTCCACCCTCCCCCGTCCTCCTCCTTCTCCTTTTTCTCCTCTTTCTCTTTCTCCTCTGCCTGCTGGCTCTGCTCTTCTGGCTGCTGGCTGTCCTCGCCGCCCTCAGCGGGCTCCCCCTCCTCCGAGCTGGCCTCGGCCTCGCCTGAGCCATCAGACGAGGAGCTGGAGGACGACATCAGCAATGGCACTGGAAGGCAGAGTCGTTTGGGGGGTTTGAGGTTTTTTTTTGTTGTTTAAGGGTGTTTAGGCGTTTTGGGTTTTCAGGGCTTTTTTATGGCGAGGGCAGGCAAAGCTGTTTGGTCATGACTTCCTCATTCTCTTGGGATCTTAGGCGAATTTGAGGTTCTCCGGGATCGTGCATGTGCCGCTGTGTTGGATGTGGGCGGAGTCCTTCATTAAGTTCTTGATCTCGCTTCTCTTTTGCACCAAGAGGAGGGGTATGCCAGCATGAATAGGATATGCACAAGAGACCCTCAACGCTACATCCTGCCTCCACCCTGCTATATTCTAATACAGGGTCCTGCAGTTCACTCTCCGCCATTATTCTTGAGCCGATGAGGCTTGCCGAAAAAGCAAAGAGGTTTTTTCCATTACGCTGGATGTTCGTTGGACAGAACGCTCAACCCGAAATTCTAAACCTGACACCCCGAAAGTCGCTCAGGCGCCGCAACCAGTGTGCTGGAGATGGAGGGGGAGGGGTACTAGGGATGTCAAGGGAGTCGGGTGGCTATTCCTGGGACGTATAGAGACTTTTTCAGGTCGGCGCCCCTAAGAATCCCTGGGCAACGGCCCAGAAAAACCCTAAACCCTAAACCCTAAACCCTAAACCCTAAACCCTAAACCCTGAACCCTGAACCCTGAACCCTAAACCCTATAAACCCTAAACCCAGAAAAGCCCCCAAAGCTGGCGGGAGGGCCGTGTGGTCTGCATCTCTGGCTGGTCGATGTCCATCCAGTCTTCCCCCGGCCTCTGCGCATCTAGGGCGATCTGCGTGCACCCTCCGCAGCCCGACTACAAACCCTAAACCCTAAACCCTAAACCCTAAACCCTATAAACACCCGTCCCTTCCAACCTTCCAGCCAGTACATGAGACTGCTTATACTTCAACCCTAAACCCCAAAATCCTGAGCCC